AAAAAAAAGAAGAATAATAATACTAAAAGAGAAATAACACATAACCTTAAGTCATTTAATTTAATGATTGTATTTTCATAGGATTCTTGAAATTCCTATTTTATCCTTAAGCCCTAATTAAATTTATGAAAATTGCCCTTCAAATTAAACCTTCATACCTCTGTAATGGTCGACGGTCTTCAACTTTAAAATCTTAAAACCTCTATTAAACCCTTTCATTTATGCAAATGCTCAAATTTATTCAAATCTTCAACCCCAATAATAAACGGTCGGCGACAGACACAAGGACTGGCGGCGGAAGCAAAGGACTGACATGGACGCAAGGGCCTGCGGGAAGCTGAGCATCGCGGTCGAGACGGGCCCGACGCCACTAGTGAGCCCAGCAGCAGATTAGATCTGAGTTTGGCTTCCGAGTCGAACTTCGAGTCGGTTGCCGTGTTCGAGCCAGGGGTTCGTGACGTCGTCGACGGTGGCTAGGCGAGGAGCGCGACCATTGACAGAGATCCAGATCCACTTTTAATTATTTCTTTCTATTAGTATTTTGTTTTTTATTTTTATTTTTTCAATTTGGTTTTAATATTTTTTTTTTGTTTTAGTATTTTATTTTTCAGTTTTAATTTTTTGGTTTTAATTTTTTTTTTGTTGGTTTTAGTAATTTGTTTTTTAGTTTTATTTTTTCAGTTCTAATTTTTTTAGTGGAAGTAAATCCACTTTTTTTCCAGTTTTTCTACTTTTTTTTCACTTTGGTTTTATTATTATTATTTTTTTTTTTTTTTTTTTTTTTTTTTTTTTTTTTTTTTTTTTTTTTTTTTTTTTTTTTTTTTTTTTTTTTTTGGCTTATTTTTTTGGATTTTTTTATTTAATCTAGGTGTTATTTTCATTTGCTATTGAATGTGCCACATCATGTAAGTGGAATAAATTAATGTTTTTTTCCTTTTCTAATCCTGCCACGTATATCATAATTACGCCATGTAACCAAAAAAAATTGACGTGGCAAAAAATTGACACGTCATGCCACGTCAATTTTTTTATCCAGGGTGCGGATAAAATAAGACTAAAATTGATGAAATTGACAAATTATAGGACTCAAATTGAAAGTGGCCAATGGCGGGGTGGATTTTTGGAAAGTGGCCAAATTGGAGGACCATTTTTGAAATTATGCCCTC